TTTTACACTTGTCCAAAATTTGTAAATGATGTTTTCTTTAAACTATAAGTGAAGCAGCCTTCCCGATAATGCTACCTTATGTTTTCGTAAAATTTTATTCGATTCTAATTCCATTCAGCAGTGCGATCGAAGCCTTCGAGTAATCGTCTCCTACTAAAAGAGCTTAGCAGCTGGCCAGCGTCAGCAAAGTTCTTTCCAAAAAATCACACGCTACTGCTGCCGTGCTCTTGCGTTTTTCGCCTCCTCCTTTCCCCAAAACGTCACCATTCAATTGAATCCGCTTAGCCGGCTAGTAGTCGTGTGCTTGGAGCTTTTTGCTGCGCGCATTAAAATACGTCATATATACTTATATGCATACATATGTCCATTAGGGTGCCCATCGAAAAAAAAATTTTTGTTTAAAATTTCAATACCCTACCGCCTAATTTTCTTCCTTTTTGTGAGAAATATTATTGCCTATTTTTATAGATTTTCTTTTAATTAATTAATTAATTAGTTAGATCAGAAAATACGGTTATGTAGATTTGTCAGTTTTTGAATGGCTTTTTTTCACTCAAGTTTCAAGATCGAACATGTTGTGAAAAGAGGATTTATAGGCCTTTAAAATGATGTATAATAATTATTGCCAGACTTGGATTGTTGGGAGTCTTCATAAGGCAAATAAAAAAAATCTCTTTTTCTTAATTTTTAGCATTTTGACCATCGCTAATTTCCACAATTTCAAAATATGTAGTATTGTCTAAAATTAAATTTATTTATAAATAAACTCATGCCCCATTTATTGCAATCGAATAAAAATTGTCCAAGTTAGGCACCTTTTCTTCCTCCTCATACAACATATTCGATCTTTAAAATCTAATGAAAAATAGTAATTCAAAAAGTGATAAAATCTTCAAAACCGTATTCTCCGACCTTAAAAGACAGGTCGCGACCTCTAAACGATTTTTAAAAAATCTTTAAAAATTGGCAATAATATTTCTAGCCGATAGCTTTGGTATCTAATGCTAAAGCATTATTTTGTAATTTCAATTATAATCAATAAAAATAATAATAATTTTCCTCATAAAAAGGATAAAAATTAGGGGGTAGTCTTGGAATAAAAAAAAAAAAGACAATTCCATGGGCACCCTAATGTGCACACATATATGTGCATATCTTATATAGTTAAGTGCACATGTATCACCCCACTACCGGCGTAAATTGTTAGTGTAGGGTCAGTTGATATTCTGTTGTCGTATTCTGACGATCGTTGGCGGGCTACCAAAAAGTGCGCGCTCATTTCGATTATCGTTGAAGCTTTTTTCTCATTAGAAACTAAAGCAATTAATATTTTATTAAATTCCAATTTATTTTGTTCTATTTTATTTTTATAATAACTATTTGCTTTGTGTGGGTTATAGTTGTCGACTGTCATACGTTTTGTTGGTTAGGGGATCGCTAAATAGTATTTAATATCTCGCGCGATTGTTCTTATTTATAAGGTGTAAGTACGTGTAGCTCTTTTATATAGTATACATATGCATGTAAGTATTATCTTGCTCTCTCATATTTACCGGCTGGCGGTCTCATGAGCTTCTTCGAGAGCTTAGTACAGCTGGGCATACCTATGTACATAGTATCTACATACATAGAATTAAATAAAGTTTGTTGTTAACAATTCTGTTTTTATTTTTATTTTTTTTTGTGTACATATGTATGTGCATTAGAGTGGCGCAATTTTGGTATGGGGAAAAAAATTTCCCCTTAGAAAACGAGGTGCCCCGTGGCAAAAATATTGTTGGCTTTTATAAAAAGCTACGCGTTCCTTTCCCACCTTGTCTCACTGAGAGCGCGACAAAAATGTGCTCAACACTCTTTGTTCGAATCTAATTGATTTTAATTTTCGATTTCGATTATTTAATGTTCATTACTTCCCACGTTTTCTCTTAATAGAATCGGTACATGTACTGCCGATTTCACGAAATTAAACTCAAATATCTTCGAGTTCGATTATTGGAATTTGATTTGCTAATATCTGGCAACCCTGTTCAATAAACTAATACCACGTAAAAGCAAAACCCTTTAATTTGACACAACATTTTTGAAAATCGAACGAACGATACAGATTCGATGACATGAACAATCGTGGCGTTAAATATAAACGTCCCGAGAGACAAAAAAATAAAATAAAAATCCCATATAATTATTATGAGAAGACGTAAATCATTTTCGTCTTGAAATAAACATCCCGCCAGATGAAAAAAAATAAAAGTCCCATATAATTGTTATGAGATGACGAAAATAATTTAAATTTTAAAATAATCGTCCCGCGATACGAAAAGAACTTTTCCATTGTTCAGTAATAATTATAGAGCAATATTTAATTTTATTTCTTATAATCGTTATGGTCTCTGGCTTTTTAACAGAAATGTTCTTCGAAAGTATCGCAAACGTTCATGTATGCTTTAGATTTCGCTGATAAATTAAACGACTCTTATTTTATCTCCAACATCCTTTAACTAAGCGCCTGTTATTGCAAAGGGAATATCTATTAAGTTCTCTTCACATTTCTTAGCCTTCACACCTTTCAGCTAAAGCACTTACTATGGAAATTAAAAAAAAAAAGGAATTCACAAATATTTTGGAGACCTCCAAACTCACCTTTGCTTAGTTCCTTATAGCAATAAAGTATAAGAATAACGATAAAAATGTGCTATAAATACGAAATTAGTAAAAATAAAAAATCCTCGTAACTATGAATTAAACCCGAGACCAAGAAAGTGCTAATCGAAAACGCATCCATTCAGCCCAGTAGCTATTGACACAGCAGCGTAAAAATGCATTCTTGAATTTATTTCCAAAATTTTTATTTTATTAAAATTTAAAATATCGAAGCTTCACAAAAAATATAGTGATTTTAAAACTGTTGAGCGCATATTCCGATCAGCCTTATTTGAAAAACATCATTGTCATCCACACTAATACAATATGTACAATATGTGAATAATTGTACCAAGTTTGCGTTGGCAAATTTAACAATCAATTATGCAATGTAACTTCGAGAACAATTTTCTTCTTTTTAAGAAAATAATTAAAAAAAAAAACGTAACAATACTAAATTTATAATTAAATAATTTTCACTCTACTAAGTATGTACTTATGTGGCGAAATATAACATTTTGTGGCATCCTTGCATGTAAATTAATTTTCAATAGCTGTGTATCTCGATTTCTTTTAAAGCCATTCAAAATGTTTAATCGGCTGCTGGTACATATAGGCGCATATTTACAGTGAACCAAAAAAATTGACGGCCAAATAAACTTTTTCGAGCGGTACAGTGTTCCTGCAATTAATAAAACTATAAACTTTTTCAAGCCGACCAATTTCAACTGTAAATGAAAGTACTAGATGTACAGGTCATTATTTTTCAATTTTTTACCTCACTTTTATTAGCTCAGGATGTTTGCCTAGTTTTTGAATCAGTCGAAATTTATGTACGGTACTTAAAATACCAAAAATTATGTCTAAAATTGTTGACCACTTTTTAAATTAAGCTAAATTATTCTATATCGCATTTTTAAATTATCAACAATTTGTGCTCACTTTCGATTTTTGAAAAACCAATATTAGCCGTGATCGCCATTTTAATTATTTTAAATTAAATAAATTCCAGTTTTTAGCTTCTTTCTGCCAGTTGCATATGTATGTACATACATTACTCGCCATTATGTAAAAAGTTTTTGCGAGTACGAAAATTTATATTACCCACTGTACATTAATTAACTGCATTGCTTTATTAAATGCCATTTTCAGTTGAAGCGCATACAATTGACACTGAAAGTAAAATATTTAATTGTAAAACGGTCATTTAACAGAATATAAATTGTGGTTAACGGTATAATGTAAATTTTGACAAACTATAGCTTTCAGCTGGTGCACTTTTATGCTTTTTATTGGTTAACTACAAGTACTTATTAAGGTATTAATTTTAGAGAATTTACGACTGACAAAAAGTGACTACTCAAATAAATGTTTTCAGCAATATTCCAACAATTTCTACTTATGCAGGCAATTATGTTAAATATGTATTTTAATTAAATAATTTCGGATGTGAAGAGTAGTTGATAATGTAATATTTATGTTATTAAAATATGTACATACATACATGCATATGTACTTTCGATTAAAATTATATTGAAAAGTTTGGATATGGGGTGCTTTAAAAGCTGACTATAATAATACTTAAAATATTGATAGGCTGTTGGCAAGCTTTGTGAAAGTTAAAAAGCTGATTGGAGCTTGACATTTGCATTGTTATTCCAAAAGTAGCAAATATACATACATATATACATATATATGTATGTTAACATGTATACATGCATATACATATGTACATATGTACGTACGAACATATATGTATGTATGCATGTAAGCAGCTTTCTTAACAAATTTTAATCCATACTATGCCGTTGCAAGTGTTCTATTAACACACCTTCATTTTATGTGCTCCTATTCCTTTAACTTTCGCAAGTTTCCGAAAATAATTATGTAACCACGACTTTGTTATAATTTTTTGTTACATACACATAGATAGCTGCCACAAGCTTCTTGTGAGCGACAAAGCTTAAACCTTTAAATGACTGCCATTTTCTAAACATTTTGTAATACTCGCCTAGTGAGCAATTGCTTCATACATCAGGAATCAAATAAATACAGTGTCGGACAAATAAATAGGGCCCGCGACATTTTAACAATTTTTTTCTATTATGTTTTTCTCTATTTAAATGTTCGTAACTTTTTTATAAAAAATTATAACTTATTATCTAACAAAAACCATATAAGTCCAAATATCAAACTTTGTACAAAAATTTTGAAAACTCAATAAATTAAAAAAAAAAACAATTATCAGATTTTTTAGAAAAAATTTTGGTATACAGTTTTGAATCCCATTTGAAATTTGTTTTATGTGTGGAAAAATGCGTGACGCCGTCAGAAAAATTGATCGAAAATCAACGAAATTGCTTACCGAATTTTTTTTCCGAAAATTCTGATAAAAAGCTTGAAATTTTGGTAAAAAACTGTCGAATTTTCCTATTTTTCCTACAAAGTTGAAATTTGGACTTATATATGACTTATATGAGAAATGCGGTCGGTTTTGTTTTTGCTTAAAAATTACTTGTTATATATGTACATCTATTTGTCATATTTTTGGACTCTTCAATAATAATAATAGATTGGCGCTTACACATATGTTAGTGTTTGGCCGAGCTTCTCCTCCGATCTGTGGCGTGCGCCTTGATGTTGTCACACAAAGCGGAAAAAAAAATTTAACCATTCGCTTACTCAATGCCTGGCATCCATGCGAGTTGAAAGAAAATTGACCACGAAAGAAAATGGTTCCACAATTAAGCCATTTATTTTACAATCAAATATGAAAACAAAAATTGCCAGCCGACATTAGCGAAATAAAAATTATTTTAGATTTAGATTAAAAATTGTTGGTTTGAAAAGAGCATAGTGCATGGAACTAAACATTTACATACAGAGCTCTGGCATTTTGCTAAAATAACTTATGTGACTTTAGAAGGTTGGACTTTGAATAGAAAATAGCAAGTTTTTGTTCACAAATTTTATATTTTTTATTAAGGCCTATCTCGAGATAACTTGTTTAAATATAAGGCCACCGATATGTGAACTGACTGTATCGAATATATATATACATTTGTATGTATGTATCTATTAAATACAGTTTTTGTAAACTGTTTTCACCCAATAAACACTGTGCCTGGTAATCAAATCGAAAATGATTGGAAAGCCAATTTCGAGTCTCACCTTCGATAATGAATGTGCAATAGGTTACTATTCGATTCGAGAACCAGACCATTTTCCAGCAAAACGGAACCTTCGTTATCCCATGTATTTTCCCTTTGTTATTGAATTTGAAATCCTGCCCATTATCCAATCGAAATTTTAATCACAAAGAGGGATTGTCTTATATTTCCCTTCGAAAATGAGCTGGATTTCACTTCCTCTCTTGTTACTATGGTTTTCATTTTTTTTCGAACCCATCTAGAATGTATTTCCAATACACTATGAACCTTGGAAAATTAAGGTTGGTTAGGCCGTGGTTACGCCACCAATTTCGATTAGAAATCACCGTGCAATTGTTGTTGTGCACAGCACGGAGTGAGAGAATCGAACAGCCAGCACGATTTGCTGGGTGAACCGAACAGCCAGCACGCCAATTTTTCAGGGTGGCAATACGCTGTTTTGCGAAAAAGTATTAGTATTAAATATTATAATAGTAAAAACTATTTTTTTCTTATTATACAGTAGATATTAAAAAAAAACTTTATTATAAAACATAAATATTAAAGAAAGAAAAAATATTAAGTTGTTCTTCCATTTTTCATTTTCCGACTTCAATTTTGACGCATTTTTAGTTGCATTTTTACTTCGGTGCTGCCATTGTGTGCGAAATTGTATGAAATGGAAAAAGGCATTTCTTAAGAAGCAACCCTGTGCTCGCCAATCAGCAAAGAGAGCGTAACCACTTCTCACCAATCACCGAAAATTTTCTCTTTTGATTTCCAATTAAAATTGGTGGCATAACCACGGCCTTATGAGTTCCTTCTCAGTTCGATGTGCATATTGGATATCGAAGGTAATTTTTTTTTCGAATGTTCGCCAAAATGTTTATAGGGCAATTTCTGTATATGTACAAAAACACATCAATAAACTTAAAACTCTCATATTAAGACGCTAAGCTTATTTGTTTCTTTGCGGGCACACGCCTGTGATCGCTAATAGGGAGTTTACATGAGGCTATTTTTCAGGCAACTTTTAGTAGAATGCAACAATCGTCTGGTGTAAACGGCCTTCCAACTAACCGCTTTCAATGAAGTTGGTCGGCTGCCTACTTTCGTTCAACTTTTGATTCAACTAATCGCCTGTTCAACTAATTGCCTCCGGCACTGTAGCTAATGCTAGTTCATAAGAGAGGTATAGAACCATTGTGGTGAAATGCCTCTCCCAGCTAACTGGGATTGGCTTAAAGCTGTGGAGTAAAGAATACCGCTCACAAGGGGAGCAGACTACATTGTTGTGCCAATTACGAATGAGAGATAAAATTATGATATGCTTACAATAATTTATTTATAGGAAATATGTGTGCAAAATATATACAAAAATATGCAAAAATGCAAAAAATATACGAACATGCAAAAAAAGTGAAAATATGCAAAACATAATAGGTCCAAATTAACTCACTCCTCCTATAATGAGTTTCTACCCAGGTCCGGATTTTCTTTGATGTTAAACAAAAATAATCACTTGCATAAATATCCGAGCTCTAGTTATGACATTTTTCTAGTAAAGAAAATTCAAATTTTTCTATACGAACTATTGAAACCTCGAAATGAATCCAATCCAACTGATTCAATTTTTCTGTAAAATTACATCGAAGTGATTTTGGAAAAATTTTAAGAAAATTCATAACTTCCGAATTTGTCTATTGATTTTTATAAATCATACCTGGTTTTACTCGGAATTGAACATTCTTTTCGAGGTAATGACTGAAAGAGACTACTTTATATTGAAATTTTCGAAAAAAATGTTTCGAAGTTGGTTAAAAAGAGAAAAATTAATGAGGTAAATACTTATTATTAAATTTACATTGCAAATAATCTCAGCCCAAAACGGCAACTCTTAAATATGTATGTTCGTATATCAATAAAAATCATATTTATATGCATATAGTTTTGTGTCTCTAATTTAGTATAATTTTATCAGTTGATTATCAGTGGAGACTGAGGGCACAATAGATCTTCTGGTCGCAGTGCATACTAATACATGCCTATCAGTGGAGACCGCAGTGATCGTGCTTAACGGCTCTCGTTTATTTTTAGCAATTTTTTTTATATGTCTGATCAAGCTTTTGCTCTTATAAAAGAATTTTGAGCGCAAATTTTATACCGTTCTCTCGCTCTCTTTCTGTTCAGAAATTTTAGGTACGCACTTAGGCGGCCCGATTTCAAATTGGCCCATTAGCTCAGTTGGTTAGAGCGTCGTGCTAATAACGCGAAGGTCGCGGGTTCGATCCCCTCATGGGCCACTTCAAATGTTTTTTTTTTCACTTTATACCAGTAATGGTAATTATAATGAGTAGAACAATTTAAATCAGCATTTCAGTGTGTTTGTATAGAATAGTAGCTTGTGTCGAAAGGCTGGCTTTAGTATAATGCGGCATTCGCAGCATAAGTTTTTTTTTAGCAAATAAACGTGCAAGAAATAGTTCCAATCAAAAAATTCCAGCTTCCCTACCTATGCTATTATTCCATACGAGCACAGATTTAATTATCATTTTATGATTTTTTTATCGCTTAAAATAATAATTACACAGGCCAACAAAAATGAAAAAAAAAAACATTTGAAGCGGCAAATGTTAAAGCTGTTTTTGATTACCTGTGTATATATAGGTAATCGCTCCCACAATTTCTCTCAAACTTGGCACACTTTATGGCCTTGGTACAACATACCAAACACTGAAAATTTTTGTATCTCGGAAACCGTTCGACCGATTTGTACCAAACGCGGCGTGATTATTGTGCTTGCCACGTGAAAGAAAAACGTTGAAAATCATTGATATCGGGCTAAAATTACGCCCACTTTTTATAAAACGGTAAATTTCAGAAATGCTAAAAACTAATAACAATCCCTGATAAGAAGTAACATTATTATGCAATTTTGGAAAATAAGCGTGATACCGCCCATTTATAACTATATAAGTTTATCTCATGATGTCTAACTGAATGTTCTATCGAAGATGTTTGAAATAAGGATAAAACCACCCCTGTTTAAGTAGTGTTTGCATTGTTCAACTTTGCGTTCAACTCAACGCAGGGTTGCACAGTAAAAAATTGAATGGCTAAAAATATGAAAAAATATCAAAATATTCGCCGTTAAAATGCGTTTCTATTGTTCTACTTTGCATTCAACTTTTAGTTGAACGGCCTTGGTCGCCAGTCAACATTTAGCCATTCAACTTTTTTTCTTGCAACCCTGCGTTGAGTTGAACGCAAAGTTGAACAATGCAAACACTGCTTTACCATGTAGGGGCACTTTTCGGCTAAAAGTATGCACTTTGTCGTATGACGGCTGACTAACATTTCGTGCCCTAACCGCCAAAAAGGCGTATGCGATATTATTGTTTGTAAATTTTCCTTTTGATGCAGAACTGCCCCTAGAGGATCTAGATGCATTTCTGCATCAAAAATAAAATCTTTAAACAAATGATACGTAAGCGACAGGCGGTTATAACTCGATAGGTTATCAGTATAAGGTCCTAAGTTAAAATAGAACTATAGCTTCCTTGCACTAACACCACTACTGATCAGTGTTAAATAAATAATTGGGTATTATTATTGGGAATCTCTTGAAGAGAAACAGAGCTTTCGGATCGAATAATATTGATTTTCAAGAATGCTCTACCATTTCTACGAGAAGGGTTTTATTCCCATATAGTAGAATACATCGAAAACTTTGAGCAATATGGGAGAGTGCGCAGAGCTTGAGATGCTGGCCGGCTGTAAAAATGCCCGTTAGGCGACTTACGCAAGGTTTCAAGACCAAGGGGAACTCGTGTAAGAACAATCATGGCGACCTAGAGACTGATGTCCAGAACGTACTTAAATTATGGAGGGAATACTTTTAAACCCTATCAAATGGCATTATAATGGAAAGTCGTGGAGAAGACGAACCCTAGTCCCCAGTCGAATAGCGATTACGCAGCTGAAAAACAACAAAGCTGTTCAGATCAGATATTCACAACACGCCAAATATAGGAAAAGACATGCGAGAATGGGACCGACACACACCATCTATTTGTCGATTTCAAAGCCGCTTTCGACAGCTGGAAAAAAAGTTGTCTTTATGCCACGATGTCTGAATTTGGTATCCCCGCGAAAATAAAACGGCTGTGTAAAATGTAGTTGGGCAATACCACAAGCTCAGCTCAGTATTGGGAAAGACGTCTCCGAGCCGTTCACCACCAGACGGGGTGTCAGACAGGGCGACTCCCTTTCATGTGACTTATTTAATCTTTTGTTGGAGAAGATAATAAGAGCTGCAGAACTGAACTGCTCAGGCACAATACTTTACAAGAGCGTACAATTGCTGGCATATGCCGACGACATCTATATTATCGGTAAAAACAAGGGCTACGCCTGTTCTGTCCTCTCGGCATAGATAGAGAAGCAAAGCAAATGGGTCTGATGGTAAACGAGGACAAAACGTAGTATCGCCTGTCATCACACAAACAGTCAGAGCATACGCGTCTTGACACACACGTCACTGTTGACGTTACAAGTTTTAAAAAGTAGACGTCTTAACACCATTAATAATTTGTGGCGCGGAGACATAGGCAATGAAAACATCTGATGAAGCGGCTCTTGCAGTTTTCGAGAGAAAGATTTTGCGAAAGATTTACGGACCTTTACGCGTTGGCAATGGCGAATACTGCAGATGCTGGTAACAAAGGCAGAGGAAGGAACTTGGCTTCATTGACATTTCCAATTGGCGTCAGTTGGCACAGAAGAGAAATGACAGCACCAATAAAGAAGAAGGAGTAAAATACATACATGGGAAACTTTGAGCGCTTTGAGCGACCTCTAAATATTTTTTGATTTCAAAATAAAAAATAGGTGTATATTTTTTCGGTATAGAAGAATCCTAGGGGTTGAGAGTATAAAAATTGAGACTTTACTTTATCACATGCGTTTTTGCACCACCCTAATGTATGTACATATCATTTAATACAATTTGGTTACTCAAATTTCATTTTAACTGGTAGACTTTGTGTGCGATTATTAATTACAAGTCACTAAAATTAAAATTTGACTATTTATGTGAGACATTGTTCGTATTACGCCTGCAATTAATTTATGCATATTCTCCATTGTGAGCCAGCAGTCTGTGGTGCTGTAGATGACGTACGAGTACCAGCCAAATTAAACAACTGTGTCTGGCGTTGATAAATGTTTGAATTAGGTAAAAGTGCACTAGGGGCAACACTGATGTAAATCCTCGTCACTTCTTGTTCTATAGCTAAAGCAATAAAGACTGACTTGAATTTGAATGAAAAAACAAATTTGAGGAAATTTTTAAATTTAAATTTAGTGTTTAAAATATTATATTATATGACTAGTACCTATATCAGTGACGTAATATACATACACTACACATTTTTAACCTTTACATTACTTAAACCTCATTAACCTTTCGTCTTCTTTCTCTTTTTTTCACGTTCAGCATTTAACCTCGCATCAACATGGCTGCCTCTGTACTCTTTGCTTGCGGTTTGAATGAGCAAAAACTGCCAAACTTTGTGCACATCAGTGAGGAATCGAATGTTGATGGCAGTTTCCTAATCAGCTGCATACTTGGCCAGCGGCTTCGCATCTCCAATGCCGGCACAGTGCTCGTCTGCCTGCAGCATAACTATCAACACTACTTCCATGCCGGCATGCGGCTCGGCTACAATGTAAATCTATTTCTCGGCAAAACGCTAAATGTTATAGATCCTCTAACTGAAATTGGGCGCGAGGGAATCAATTGCAAGTGGCTGCAGAATGAACGTAACGTCACTACACTTCTACTCGACGCTGTACGTGCGCACATCAACGCCAGCGTAACGCAACGCAACAGCACCACCATAATAATTGATAATTTGGCGATTTTGTTCAACTTGGGCGCAACCAAGCAGGAAGTACTCCAGCTATGCCATGAATTAGCCGAATTGCCGAAGCAGTATGCGAATTTGGGTGTCATCACGAAGATGAGTAATTGTGACTTGTACGAGCCGGTCGATAACAATGTGGCCAAGCTGGGCACGCTGCGTATACGTGCAGCTCAGCTGAAGAGTGGCGTGTCGCGCGATGTTGATGGCAAATTGCTGATCGAGCGGGAGGTGATTGAGCGCGGTGAGCAGGAAAAAGGAGGAGAATTGGAGCAAGTGCTGGAGAATGGCGGTTACGATTTGGAGATAGTACGCAAGGAAGTTTTGTACAAAGTCAACGACAGGAATGTAAAGATCATGAGTCCTGGTGAAATTGGTGTGCGAGTGTGAAGAATCGAACGTCTCACAAGTGTGCCGTATATGTACATATGAAATATCAAAAAAAAAAAGCCAATCACTGCACTTTGTTAACTAAAATAAACTTTAATTTCATACTTAAAATAGAGTTTGATGGCCATAAAAAGATTCTGCGTCTTAAGGCTGTTTTCAGTCCTCTAAAATAATCAAAAGAAATATCTTTCATTATTTTTATTAAATAAATTAAATAAATATCTTTCCTTTGCCAATTTTTTTGTTTTTCTTGAGAGCTGGATGCTATCCTTTACCGCTGTTAAGCAAGTATTCCCACTGGAAATCCAAAAATTTTTTTGCTCCCGTAAAGTTTAAATTTGTCAAATGGTGCCGTTTGCATTGATGCCAATCGTCAGTTTTGGCGCCAGTTGGCTGAAATTGTTCGTTGCTTATTATCTCATTGCATATTCGCTGTAGGAAATATGCACTACTTAAGTTTTCTTAAATGTAAAAATGTTATTTTGTATAAATTTTATGTTTCAAACTAGACGAAAGTGCTTACTATGTAAGGCTATGAATGTTTTCTCTTAAAAAAATCTATTGGTGTAATTTCCAGTATGCATATTTATCAGTATATACAGTTGGGTGGGCTGAAAATCTGACTTTCTTCGAAATTTTTGTTGAAAGTAGCGAAAATATGTATGTGCGAAAGATGAAAATTTGCAGTCTATCGAAGTAGAAAGTGTTAAAAAAATTTGTTTTCTTAGCTTATTTCGTTCGCAAATTTAATTCTCTACAAAAAAGGTTATATACAATTTCTGCAGGACTGATAGTTTCGATTAAATTGCAATTTTATTAAAAAAATACTGTATATATGTTCAAGAACGAAGTATAAAATTACAACAGGTCGATGTCTGTACATTATAGATATTAAAGAGAAATTAATACGGGGGGTCTTTATTAGTAGAGCAAAACAAGCCAAATCAACAATTTTTAGAATTTTTGTCTGTATGTTTGTACACACATCACCCGAAAACTAATGCATTGCATTTAATTCAGTTTCCATCGATATATTGCTAGAGGTCTAACTTAAAGTATAGAAACAAAATATTAGAGAATGAGTTGCCACCTGTTTGAAAATTGCGCTTTAAGTAAATTGATAAGATAAAGTAAATATTGCAACATGGCTGTGAAAAGAATAAAGTTGAGAAGGCTTGAGAAAATAGTTTTGTGGAAAATTGCCACCTGTTTGAAAATTTTAATTTAACTTAATTGATAAGTTAAATAAATTATTGGAATATAGGAATCAAATTTAAGATCCATTTCGACATTCATTTTTGCATGAGCGTAGCGTTGCTTTTAGTGTTCGTTGGTGCGACCCGTCCACATTATAAATTCGCAAAAGGATATCTTGAGAAGACCATTAGCAATCCGTGCAGTGGGTACTAACGAAGAGGTACATTACCCATTCTACACGCTGCCAATTGATTACTTTAAAGCGATTAATCCAATTTCTTTTTGTGAAGTTATAAATTAAATTTTGAGTCGCATACAGCTGCGCTCCAAGGTCGATATGATGGCGCTTGGCCAGGCTTGTCTGCGATAGAACGGTCAGTTAAATAGACGAATGTGTAGTTGGAAGTTAGTTACCCATCAAACAAAATTACTCGAAATTGCAATGATCCGGAAACCCTGTTTGTAGAATATTTTATAATTAATTTTGGAAAGTGACTACTCATGACTCAACTAAGGAACGTCTATATAAATAGAAATAGGGAACTTGGAAAGTTGGAACGAGGCTGGTACTCCCTAAGAATACACCTCCAAGGCATAGACACTGGCATTTTTATACACAAACCAAGGCCCCCGATTCAAGTAGATAAACTTCCAAAGGTATGTCTTCCAAACGGAGGTCCACGCCATAAACCTGTTAACGGAGGCCAATCATCGGCGAAAATATTGCAATGAGAGCATTGTCAACTTACCTTATCGGCTAGTTGAAATTGTGGTTGTAGCCAGAGTAGATATATGTATTTGTATTTGGTGAACGACAGATACGGTTTTTTATCTTCTTTTTTGTCAAACGCATATAAATTCATGGTGTCGCCGCCATTCAAAATAATCATATCGTCGTAGACAAAACGTTTTGTTAAGCCACATGAAAGATAAATGTAGTGTCGCTTGGTAAGATCATTTTCAATGTGTACCAAGCTTTACTGACCTTTTCTAAAGTCATATATTTTCATAAAAAGGCAGATTTTTTGTTTGCTGGGTGTAAAATACATACATATGTATGTACACAGTGATGCCAACTCCATTAGGGCTGATTCCGCCAAATTCCTGAAAAAAATTCACCTATTTTCAATGGTATTCCCCCCACCCAAAATAACTTATACTATTGAGTTTTTATTAAAAAAAAAACAACGAATATCATTAATTCTCATGGCATAATAAGGTCAACCTTTTTAAAAATATATATATATGAGTATATTTCGTAAAGCAGAATTGTCGAACATACATACTTTGATTCGAAAAAAAGCGGAACACTGTCAACAAAAAAAAAAAAAAAAATTGCCAAAAATCAACGAAAATTTGCACTTTGTTATACTAAAATTTAATGGGCTACAAAACTGGATACCAAAATTTTGTCTAAATTTGCTGATTAAAAAGTTAGAAGTTTTGGTCAAATTGTACAGAACTTTCATAATTTTTGCACAAAGTCAGAAATTTGGATTAATATCGCGTTTGTTAAGCAATCAGCTATACTTTCATAAAAAAATAATAAACCTTAAATAAAGTAAAGAAAAATAGCCAAAACGGACTAAAATGTCGCGTCCAAGTTTTTATTTGGTTCACTGTATGTACATATGTATATCGAGCATAGATGGATTATACCTTAGAATCATATTTCTTGATGAAATTTTTGTATTTAAATGTCTACAAGTCGTACTAAAATCAAGAGAGGTTTTATTTATAAATAGTTGTTTTGTAAGTAAAATTGCCTCCATTGTATGTGTGTGTCAAGCCAATGTCTGATTGCAGTTTTTAATTAAATTTATTGGAAAAATTATCTATATAGCGATAAATACTTCTCCTATTAGACTGCCCAAAACTTTGCCAGTTTGGCTTGGCGCAAACGAAGTGAGAAATGATAGTGTCAAATATAAACGTCAAGTGAAAAGTGCGGCTAAACACGTTTTGAAGCCGTGACACCGTATGACAAGTTGTAATTCTCAATAGGAATGTTCTAATAAAAATCGTCTGTATATTGAATTTCGCCAAAATTTAAAGCCATTCCCCGATTCCCCCAAGAAATTTAAATTCCACCAAAATCGGGGAATTCTCCCCTGGTTGGCATCACTGTAAAAGTACGAGTCAGCTGCCAACAACGTTCTATGAGAGTGTGCCAGTTGACCTATGTACATATATATGTATGTACATATCTGCGTAGCCCATTTGCTATCACAACGATTGCTACCGCGTGAGAGTGTAGTCAGTCATCCATAGCACGCGTGGCACAGGCCGTCGGCACTTAAGATAACTAACTTGTCGATTACTGTGATTGATAGATATCGAAATTACTGCAAAAGTTTTCGTTAACTAGATAGCGAACAAGTAAAAACTATTTTCTACATACATACATATGTACATACATATGTACTACTATATTTGTCCGCTGTAGTCTCATTGTGTACCGTTTTCAACTGGTGTTTGGCTTATTTGTTAGAAAAATGTACTAGATAGGAAATGTATGTACGTATCTTCACCTGAAATACAAAAAAAAGTAACAAACATCATCGCTGAAATGCAAAATGTCATAACTAATAAAAAAATTCAAAATTCACTTTTTGATATATATGATGGATTTTATCGAATTACAACTCCCCACATTATTTTATGAAGTAGTTCTCGGTGCCTTTTTGACAGAATTTATATGGTTTTCTTGCCACTTTGAATATCTTACATATATATTGTTGGGCAGTATGGATTCCAAAAGTACTCAGAACTCGATTATCAATAGTATCGAAAGCACCCGATTTTTATAAGTATCGATACTGAGTAATTCCAAAGTACTAAGTACTCACAAAAGAACTCGAAAGTATCTATTCAGCGCTTAATAGAACTCGAAAGTCCGCAGTACTGAAAATTTTTCTCGTCTAATCATCACTTTGATACATGTACTCAGGATCGGATCAAAGTACTCAGTATTTAGTGTCGAATAGATACTTTAAAGTACGCAGTTTCATTTACATTTACCGCTATTCTGAAATGATGTACTCAATATGAAGTTTTAAAACTTTTCAAGTACAATACTAGCACTCAGTAAAATTAGCTATTAATTTGACGTTTAGTGATTAATATATCTGTTAATTTGAATACAGTGCTGCCAGCTTGCAAGATTTCTATACTAAACATGGAAATGTTACGAACATGTGCATATTGAAAGAAAGTGCTTAGTACTCTCAAAAATACCTGATCGTTAAAAGTGTTGATAGCAAAGAACTCGATCCTCAAAAGTGCTTGATACTACTTCGCAACACTATATATATAAAGCTGTTCTCAGAGACCCGGATCGCTCGGTAAGATCTCCGAGCTCAATTTCTTTTCGTAAAATTTTATGCACCAGTCTTGACAAATATTTTGGTTCGAAGACGATTTGAAGTGAAATAATTACCCTCTGATATAAAGAACCGGTGAAACCAAATCTTTGAATCACTCATTGCTCAAACTGCTATCTATCGATCTCGACTTCAAACTGTAGGCAAACCGTCACGTTGTAAAAAAACAGCCATGGCAAAAAATCAAAGGAAAAGCAGTTCTTAATATTTTCATGCCCTCGCCCTGTTTGTCGTTGAGTATCCTTGCGGCCATAATTCGTTAAAGATAAGAGCCAGTGACAATTTGGCTCCTTCCACCGGCTCCTACTTTACAAAACAAAATAAAAATAAACTCAAATCACAGATAAAAACCAACGGCCCACGTAATAACGACAAAAGGTGTAAAAAAGGCGAAATTTCTGCCTCGAAAACGGAAGTAAATCCGTTGCTATTAACACACTCATCGCGGTGTTTCTTGCTAAGTACATATGTATGTATGTACATACCCTGTAGGAAATGTATCTAACTATCAGCTAACTTTAGGTTGATTAGGAAGGAGCTAAAAGCCAATATTATCTGTATATTTTTTTTGACGAAAGCTAACTATATCTCTATGGCGATGGCCGCGAAATATTCATATTGATGTAACTAATTTGTAACTAACTACTTTGGA